GAGTTTTACTTTGGCTGGAGCTCAGCCAGCTTCATACTCACATGCACAGCAATCCAGGTGAAAATAATGCAAATCGTGTGGTTGCAGCTGTTCCAAGAACAGTAACCAGCAAGTTAAAACAGCACTATTACCTAATACAATAATTACAAAACTCAAAAAAGATTACAGCAAAGCTCTAAATACATATCCCAATACATTACACAAAATGAATGTGGATAAAGTTTGAATTGAGGTGCCTCTCTTATAAAACCGTATTACTACCTACGATGATAATCAAGAAAAGCAGATATTGTGACAGGCGGAATGGGTCAGCACATTAAAATGACAACTTTGACTGTATTTCAAAACAAAAACTATCAAATAAGTATTTAAAACGTTGGTATGTTTATAAAATGCAATGCTTTTCTATAAAACTCACTTGGATGGTGTCCTGAAATAAATGACAAATCAGTTTATACTTAGAGGTCAACTCCCACCTAACTGACAGTTTCATTTGTCTGATTATGAAACGTTCCTCATTTAGTTTCAGGTCCGATCTCCATCAGCGGCTCTGAGTCTTCAGAGATGATGTTTCTGTGCTGAACACGTATACTGCCTCTAACAGACCGACGAGTGGACGAACGGCGAAGACGCTCATGCGGAATGGACAACACTGGAAGTGAACTGCTGTTATCACTGTTTCTTTTCATCTCGCCGCTGGTGTCCAGATGTGATGAATCTTCTTCTGTGGTCTGTGAGGAGCTGACAGATGTTGTCAAGGCCTCTGGTCTGGGGTTGTCGTTGTTGTGATGAGACTTTGGAGAGGGCGGGATCGTGGGATTTGAGATGCTTGATGAGGATTTGGAGTCATTTGTACAGTCGCTTGTCTGGATGACCGGACTCTGCCTTTCATCATTCGTACCATGATTATCGAGACTCCGTTTTTGTCTTCTCACTGTATGAACACAAAAAAACAAAAATAATTAGCATCTGTTTCATTCCTGACATTTCGTTGTTCTTATTACACACACAAACTGTTATGACAAAGCCAACCTAAATTCAGGCTAAAATCCAGGTGCTTCTTACCATATGTATATTTTTTCCTTTTGTTTTTTATTATTTGTTTTGCTTTTCCTTCACTTGTTTGATGATTCATTGAACTGAATTAGCAGTTTTAAAAATAACGCCTAGAAACTGACTTACCAGGGCAGCTGTGTTTCTTCACTAAATGCACAATACATGAACAGATGACAGTGGCTGTTAAGGTGGTTAAAACTGTAATTACAATGGTTACAGTGAAGGATCCCTGGTATCCATCTGTAATGACAAAAAAAGAGATTGAACCTGAAAAAGCATTTCGATAAAAGAGGAGGAACCTGCATAATTTCATAGCTGCTTCATCAGCACATTTTACCACTCAATAAATGTTGTGTGTCTGAATAGCTAATGGATAGTGAAGCATAGACACAGCTAATCCAGGTGTTTGATTAAAGCTACCTGGCAGGTAAATCTCTGAGTCCCTCGTCTGATGTATCTCCAGCTGGTGGACCCTGCAGGTGACCCTGGGACCAAAACACACACATTTACATCTTATTCAAAATGTGCACCAGTGGGGTTAGCGTGAGA